GCGTTCCATATGGCGTAAGCTATTAGTAAATGGTCATTTTTAGCAGAACTCTAGTAGGGTACAGCAGAACGGTGAGTGGAGAAATCTGGAGAAGGGAGAGTCGTGCATGTGATCGGTATGATTTCCTTGAAAGATTGTTCAAAGATGACAATGACTAATGTCCACTCATATTTTAGATGATAATGCTTCAGCCGGCAGATTCAGATATTGAAGCTTTGGAAAACAGGGAACTCGAGTCTGGTTTGGACCCCTCTTCGTACGCTTTTTTGCTAGCCAGATATTTGGAACTAAATGAACTCAGCTATGCCTTACTGCTGTGGAAGCGAATACCCAAGGAAACCAAAGCAGAAAATGGCGACGTTGGCGCCGTATGGGACATCGGCAAGAAGCTGTGGGTGTTGGATTTCGTAGGTGCCTATGCCGCGATGAAAAAGGAGTGGAACGAACCACTGAGGTGATAATGCTTTTTCTTGGTTATGTGAATGGGAGAGTTTTGAACAGTTTTGACTGCTAAAACTAACTTGAAGGAACCCAAAACTTTGTTTCGATACCTGCACCTGAAATCACTCAAACCGTGTGTCTAAAGTCTAACTTGTTCGAAGGATATTGTGTCCAAGCCTGATTCAAGTCGAGGCTTTTTCTTCTCTTGTAAAATTGCTTTTGTTCTAACTTGCATGTAAGGTCGATTTTTCATTACTGTCGTCCCCTTTCCAGAAGATTAACAACTTAATGTTCGTAAATCTCGCCGACTGTAGATCCTTCTACCTGAATTCCTAGTCTTTGTATTTTACAAATGGTTAGTACTTGCCTATGAGGAATAGATAATGAGCGTATCTGTCACCCCAGGCTAAAGTTGCCTTCATCGTTATCGCAACGATTTAGGAATATGGTCTGCGCTGCAGGCTTCGGTACCATACTTGGCACAGCGGTGAAAGGCTGGCTTCGACCTCCGGAGCTGCCGAGTTAAAATCTCGAGGTAAAGAAAAAAATTTCGCTTGAGCAGTGAATGCACCCAACGTACCTTCTGCACCAACAACCGAGAATTGGGTTGGATGTTGCTGACTTGCGAACCGCGGGAAAAACAGCGATGTGCTGACGTAATCATAACAAAATGAGCAAGAGGTATGACCATGCTCCTGCTGTTAGGACCTCTTAGGTCTACAATTTACCCTGACCTGTTTGATAGCTGTTTATTTATTGCAACTGCCAGCATAATATTTGAACCGTGCTCTATCCTTAGCGATTGTTGTTTGTAAATTCGCTTGCGGAAAAGAGAGAAAACTCTTATTGTTTTCAGTCAGTGTGATATATGTTAGTAATGACCATTACTAATGATTTCTGAAACTCATTTCAATTCTGTCTTCTTTTTCATTTCTTAACTGAGATGTCACGTTTCCTCCTTCTTCATCTTCATCTTCCATGACCGTTTTTTCTTTTGGAGTTGCGGAGGCAGACGCGTCAGACAGTGCTTCCAGCGTTCCTGATCCTGTGCCAGAATCTGAGCTTCGGCAGAAGACAACTGGAGTCTGGAACAGACTCCTTCCATATATTTGCACCAGGTTAATCT